TCGGGCTACTTATCCCCAGCCATTCCAGTGCAGTCTCTGTACAAGCCCCAGGTACAGTCAAGTTATGAGACCGTATCGCAGCCTGGGTTCCAAACATCTATGCCTGGGCAGTCAGGTTACCAATCTGTATCCAGATCAAGTTCCCAAGCCCTGGTGCAGCCTAGTAGTCACTATTTCAAGCTATGAGTCTGTGTCTCAGTCAGTGCAACGGGGACTTCAGTATCCAGCACTGAATTATCAGCCCGTCACAAACCAGAATACTCCTGGACCAGCTCAAAGTAGCCGGCATTTGTCCCAAAGCAGATCCAGGTTGTTGTAACAAGTGAAGTCATAGCCGTTTACTTGTGTTTGCAGTTTTCTGGTTGTGGATAATGTTCGTTTTGAAAGTATCAATAAAATGTCATTAGCAAGTGTATTTTTGTGTGGGGTTTAAGTGAAGACTAACGGTCTCGCCTTTTGTTGGTGGTTGACGAATCTGTAAAGAGATTAGGTGGAAAAATGAGGATTTCGCACATCTAGTAGTTGAGTTAGTTGGCTGATATAACTGTTCCATTGAACATAACTTCTACCCCTGGTTTCACAGACAAGGCTTAAGCCTAGTCTCAGACTAAAATGTATGTCTGAGCTCTTTAAAGTTCTTCCACACTGACTGAATCGACCTCACCCCTTTTTTTTTTTTTTTTTTTACCTTGCCTTATACACGGAGGCATTCTTGTGTTAGAATAGAAAATGGCCCTGTTCGAACTATTGGTATAAAATTAGAAGCACCCAATTCCCTAGAATATCATATGCTTAAACATTAAGATTTGTACTCCTGGAAATTACTAAAGTAGTCAAACCTGTTCATTAGAAGGGGGTGTCCCAATACTTTTGGCAATATAGAGTACAAGCCAACCTAGCTATTCAAAATCTTTGTCTGCAATTTAATTTTGACCTATTACTTTCGCTTTTGACCATTAGGTATCAGAAACATAATTCATTCAGAACCTTTTCTATGGACCGACTTTCTGTACCACACTATTCTGCTGATATGGAATGAGTTTGACTACTTAGTTATATTAATAGAAATGCTTCACTGGGGCGAACAAAAAAATTCTAAAATAATAAATGGGATACCCCCATAACACCAGCATTTCCAGAAGTATCCAACATTTCTCAATCACAATCTTAGTCAGCTTAATGTGACCATTAGCTTAACAGCTGTATTCCTTGTTTGCTAGCTACCTATGCACATACAGCATACAATGTTAAAAATGTTCTACATTATGAACCTTAACCCAAAAACCTTTAGCTTCATACACTGTAGATAATTGTGACCCTGCCTGTGGAAACCCAGCTAAAGTATTTTTTTAATATTAATTTATGCATTTAACAGACGCTTTAAGCGATTTAGAGTGCATTCAGGCTATATATATTTTTACCAGTATGTGTGTTCCCTGGGAATGGAACCCACAGCCTTTTGCACTGCTAACGCAATGCTCTACCACTGAGCCACAGGAACACTAAAACAATTTTAAAACAGTGGATGAGTAATTCACTCCTTGATTTGCTTAATAAAAGCCTTCTTTGAGATCGTTTTGGCAGACATGTTTATTGTGTATTATTTTCAACATGTTTATTGCTAAGTTTAGTGTGTCAAAATAGAAGCGCAGCCTTAATTCGCATGCAGTGTATCTGGTTGCCATGACAACCTCAAGCGCTTCCTGCCGCTGCTCTATGTAATCAGAGTGTGAATTTGTAGATTTTCTAAAGCAAAACCAAAATGTGTTTAAAAGTGCGACTGACCAAATCGTCCGGCCCGGTCTCGGCTACTACTAATAAAACAGATCTCTGGGGGCCCCCAAAAGTGTGTGGGCCCTTAGACTCGTCCTAACTTTCCCCCCCTTAGCGGCGCCCCTGATTAGCTAAGTGGGTGATCATTCAGCATTGTGCAAACTCTGCAATACACAATAGAATTAGATATATCACAATATATAAAATATTCATATATATAACTACATTTAAAAAAAATTCATGATTGTTTGAAAATTTTTTTTAAATATTACAATTTTGAAATATACATTTTTAAATATTTCAGTTTGCCATTTGCTATTTTTACCACATGATTCTGTAAAAATTTGAGAATTAACAGTTAAAAAAAAAGTAAACCTTATTGGAGATTTTTCTTTAATTAAAACACTGGTCTTTAAAACATACATACGTACATACAGTACATACATAACATATTTTTGTGTAGATGGTATATAACATTTCAGTGCCTAATTTCTTAGGCAAATTGTTGCATTCAGTTAAGTAGAACAAATACGAATTGTGAATTATGTACATATAGATTTATTAAACATTTACACTAGCTAAGTGGGTGATCATTCAGCATTGTGCAAACTCTGCAATACACAATAGAATTAGATATATCACAATATATAAAATATTCATATATATATAACTACATTTAAAAAAAATTCATGATTGTTTGAAAAACATTTTTAAATATTACAATTTTGAAATATACATTTTTAAATATTTCAGTTTGCCATTTGCTATTTTTACCACATGATTCTGTAAAAATTTGAGAATTAACAGTTAAAAAAAAAGTAAACCTTATTGGAGATTTTTCTTTAATTAAAACACTGGTCTTTAAAACATACATACGTACATACAGTACATACATAACATATTTTTGTGTAGATGGTATATAACATTTCAGTGCCTAATTTCTTAGGCAAATTGTTGCATTCAGTTAAGTAGAACAAATACGAATTGTGAATTATGTACATATAGATTTATTAAACATTTACACAGAAATGTAAATATAAATATGGCCCATTAAGCAAAAACACAGAGTGCAAAGTGAAATAATTATAGATCCTAAAATGCTGGAACAAGAATTTCTAGAATTGTGGGAATTAATATTCATAAGGGGTGCTGCACCTGAATGGTCGTCTTTATCATGAATATTAATTTCCTCCCCCTACATCAGTGAAGGACCACCTACTTACCTGTTAATCATCCCCTGATCTTCCCTGCGTTCCATTCGGAAGGGCTCGTCCCTATGCCCTAATCCCTTCAAAGGGTTTACCCTCCGGAGTGAGAGCTTCGAAGGGTTGAAGGGTTTAGGGGACCAAACAACTGTTTCTTGAAGTGCCCTTCTGCATCATCATCACGTGCCCACATGGAGGCGCCGTCATCATGCAAAGAATCTGCGCAAAGGATCATGGGAGCCCCCTTCGAAATCCTTCATTCTGAAGGGCCCTTTGAAGTGGCCAGTTTTGAGCACTTTGGTTTGGAACGACCCTTCAATATGGCGGCCATGATTGTTTTCACTCCGAAGTGCCCTTCGGAGGGCGATATATCCCGTTTGGACGCACTGCTAAAGAAAGCTTATAAAGTTTGCAGATTACTTGTGGCTTTAAACAACAATAATCGTCCAATCGAAACATTTGGAAATGCACATTTATATGCACATGCACAAAAAGGTTCGATAAAAATTAAAGTACATTTAGAAGAACAGTTATCAACAAACAGTAACACAGTGATGTGAATGATATATGTGCTCATATATATATAACAAAATCAGACCCATCACTAGAAGCCTGAAAAACAAGTTATCATGGAAGATACATTTGAGACGCATGTTAACACATGACCACTGGTGATCGTTTCCCCCTATCAGAGACAGATCTTAATACCAAGGTTTAAATAGGGCCTATATAATATTATCCTCATAAGAAACCCAACTCAATTCTCTGTCAAATTAAAGGTGTGCAATTGAAGCTGTAACACCTGAACCTAATAATTGCATATTACACGTTTCCATGACAACTGATTATCAGGAAACAACAGGTAAATGGCAGGTGCAGGCACTATATAGGAACAGTTCAGTAACACTAATATGTGTTGGGGTCTAATGTGTGTTTTATGGTTCTGTAGTGGTGTTGCTGAGGTAGGGAACTGGTGTATTTCTAGCTGGATCTGGAGGACACCACTATACGATTCTTAAGGTATGATATTAAATCAATTTATTTGTTTTTATCTATGTTTGTTTATTTTTCTATCAAATACTAAAGCCAAGTCTTTTGTTTTACAGAATTTCTTTGGCCTTTCTCAGTCTCTGTGTCCATGGTCAAATTGGAAGTGGTACGTTTTATTCAGTCAAGTTCTGTAATCCAGGTTTATCAACATGTCCCTTTGACTTATATTATTTTTCCCCTTTCTCCTTAGTTGATGGCTTTGTCTGCAGTGGAGGTTATCCTGGATCCTATGAGGCTGGTCCCCCTTTGCAGGATGTTGTGAAACCACAAAATTCCAGCTGGTATGGCCAAGGAGCTGTATCTGATTCCATTGAGCCTCTAAGATCCAAGAATATCCCTTACAGTGCTGCCGTTAGGGGTGTATATAGCAGTGTAAGCTATAGCCCTCAAACAGTTTCTTTTGGCTCTGGTCCAGTGACAAGTCTTCATATGTTTGGTTCTGACTCCAATGCTAGAAATCAACTTCAAAGTTCTCTGATATCTTTAGCTGGTAGTGGCCGTCTTGTTTCTGGTTCTGTGGCAACTGCATTGGGTACAAGTGTGAACAGTGAGTCTGTACCCCAGCCAGCACAGCTCAGTTCTCAAAATCTTGTGCAGACTAGTAGGGAGTCTGTAGTGTCTAGTAGCCAGCAACCAATGCAGACCAGCTCCCAGTCCAGTGCCCAACAGCCATTTATCAAACCCCAGAAAGGTAGACTTGCACATGTTGGTTCAGAGTTCTTTTCTGGTGCCAGTCCAGACTTCAAGTTCTGGTTTTATATTCAAGCCTGTGCAGCGACAAAATCCGTCCTCCCTACCTGGTTACCAGTTAGTGCAGGGCAGCCATGGGTCACATTATGAATCCAGCGTTAAGTCCAGCAGTGTGCAACCAGCACAGGCAGGCTACCAACCCAGCATCCAACAGTCATATCAAGCCAGCAGCCAACGTTCTGAACAAGCCATCTCTCAATTTGTGATCCAGTCCAGTGGCCAGCAGTCCGCACAAGCCAGCTACCAGTCTATGCAACAGCCTAGTCTCCAAAAACCAGGACTGACCCGATACCAGCCTGTCTCTCAGCCCAATGGCCAGCAGTCAGCACAAATCCGCTACCAGTCTGTGCCCCAACCTAGTGGCCTGCAGTCAGCTCAAGCCAGCTACCAGTCAATGCAACCACTTAGTGGTCAAAAACCAGGACTGACCCGATACCAGCCTATCTCTCAGCCCAGTGGCCTGCAGTCAGCACCAACCAGCTACCAATCAGCCCAAACGCGCTACCAGTTTGTGCCCCGGCCTGGTGGCCAAAAACCAGGTCAGACCCAATACCAGCCTATCTCACAGCATAGTGGGTTGCAGTCAGCTCAAGCCAGCTACCAGTCAATGCAACCACCTAGTGGTCAAAAACCAGGACTGACCCGATACCAGCCTGTCTCTCAGCCCAGTGGCCAGCAGTCAGCACAAATCCGCTACCAGTCTGTGCCCCAACCTAGTGGCCTGCAGTCATCACAAACCAGCTACCAATCAGCGCAAGCTCACTACCAGTCTGTGTCCCAGCCCAGTGGCCAATCTGTGTCTCTTCAGCCTGGATTCCAGCTCTCTTCTATGCCAGAGCAGTCAAGTTATGCGTCTCTTTCCAGTTTTGGTTTCCAACCCCTAGAGCAACCCAGTAATGTACAACTTGCTTCAAGCTATGAGTCCGTGTTGCAGCCTGACCTTCAGGATACAGCACCACTGCGCTCCCAGACTACTCAAAACGAGCGCTTGTCACCAGGCATGTTGAGGCTGTTGCAGCAAGTGAAGTCATAGCTGCATAGCTGATGTAACTTCATTTAGTGTGGGTTTTTATTTTTTTTTTTCTCAAAACAATAAATCACCTAAACGAACTTCTTGTGTTTGCTGGGTTCTTTTTCGGCTATCTAAATCGGCAAGGGCTTTAATGTGGTCTACTGATGCAGTAATATTTTGTTAGGTGTATGATGTCTTCTAGGAAAGGGGGGGCGGTAGAAACACTTGTCTACTGGTAGTTTAATATCTTTGACCAGTGACGTTCTGTTGTTGGCACTAGACTTGTGCCGGTATTCGGTAATGCGATATATCACGGTAATGAATATGCACAATATTGTTATTGTGGGCACTTCTAAATACCGTGAATTATATGTTACAAATTATTCAGAATTTTGAATGCGTTTTAAGAATACTTTTCCCATAAACTGGTCAAAATGCACAACACCGCTGTATGCTGCATGAAAGACGTGTGCGCACTCTGATGTAAACAAGCGCGGACGAGAAGCACATGGCGGAACATGTGAGAGACGCTCT